GTCTGAAAATTGCAGCCATTGTGATTTCTTTTAATTATTCCTTGCTGTGACTTCTTTTAACTTTAGTTCTGTTTGCGGTCAAATTAATGTAAAGTTCTGTGGTATGACAGCTTCACATGTATGCTGATGACACTCTTACATTTCAACAGTTAATTGAGTTGCAGGGCAATGAATACCATAAATATCTTGTTGTGTAAGAATCAATGCTAACTATATAGTGATTATTTAATAAATTATCATTATCTCCAGCTGTCTGCCTAAAAACAAAGACTAATCGTATTGGTAGGATTTTGTAATCAATTTGGCTTTATTAAGGCCCAATCTGGGTGATCAATACTCACCTAAATCAAATCCTGCCTGTTTCTTACATTTTTATATTTCACATGCTTTTGAGGGATTGTTAAGGAAAAGCCTTAAGATCAGTAAAGTAAGGCTCCGTTTTAAAAGACAGACTAATTAGGATCACTGTAGGCGTGTTCACAGCTCGAAATGGCTGACAACTTAATTGAAGGTTTAAGTGATCCACACCTACCAAGTCAAAATTTCAAACCTCCTACACTGTGCTGGAAAAGCGCATCTGCTGGTCCACTCTCTGACTGAAATGTTCTGGAAAAAAATGTAATATTCAATTTAGAGGATTTTGATCTATTTCTGTTTAATTTTTTATCTTTTTTTTTATTTATTCTAACAATATCATGTACTATTCAGCCACTATGCTGATCGGCTGCTAAAATAAGCCTCAAAAATCACTGAAGATCTGCAGCTGTGCCTTGTAGTACAATGCTGAACCCCAAGTATCCATTAGTCCTTAGCTGCTATATGATATCTAACCCACGAGATGTGCTGCAGAGAGCACAGCTGAAGGACAAAGGAAAGAGACGGAGAGGGAGAAATGATGGGGGGCTGGTAAGGATATGCATCAGCTTTTAGTGGATTTCCACAGTTAGATTTATCACGGTCAACTGAGGAAGAGGACACCGATCAATAACCCCTCACTGTCTGTCTCCCTCTTCCCTCCCATGTCTACTCTCTCTGGTGTGTCATTTTTCCACACCTTAGGCAAGAACGGACGCCAACCACATCATCATCATCATTAGGCAACTCAAAGCAGCTGACACTCAGCAGTGGGATTACTTCATGTTAACGTTGTTGCGCCAGCAGACAAATAAAGAATGAAAGAAACTTCAACTATGCATAACCTGATCTAATACATTCTACAACTGCTGCAGAGTATCTACAAGAAACATCTGGTGATTCTGTCACAGGTGACTGAATTAGCAACGGCTGCACAGGCAATATGAAGTATTAAGCTCTCGTGAACGGATTATTTACATATCACACGCTTGAAAACACAAACCTGTCTCTTCTGGACCATCTAAAGGAAGCTGTCACACCACAAAAATTTGAATTTTCTGCTGAGCATATCCAGATGATGGGAGCAAGTTAACAGCAGTCAAATAGATTAATCAATCATTCGTATGCTCTTTGATGTCTACCGGGGCCTATCTTCAAACATCATCACTTACAATGAAATTCTCAACTGTAATGGTCTTCTAGAAAACAAATATGGGTCAAATGTGACCTGGACAAGCAGTGATGACTATTTTTCTCCAAGCTCTGATAAAACATCCATCATGTGACTATGGGTATGGACACTTCATGTCAGCACTTTGCTACTATTTTGAATCAGACTGGAAATGGCAGTAAAATAGAAGTGAGACACTTAGTCACTCACCATCAGGAATTATGATGGCAGTGGTGATTTTGATGTATGTCACAACAAGGGATACGTGAGGATTTTTGTTCTTTTCGCACAAGATCACAAGAGGGTGACTGAAGCTTGCTGACATCTACAACTCCTGGCTCTATGTTTTAAACTGCATTATCAGCATTCTGAGAAGTGGCAACAGTTACACTCTGATACATGTTGAGGTACTCTGAATCTCAGCATGTGGTTTCCATCATACTTCTGTGCGTAGCTTAAAAAAATAAAACTACATTTAGCAGACAAACCACTTGTTTATGGTGAAATGCTCATGAATGCTGAATTTCGTGCAATCACTATTGAATACTACGTATCAAGAAGAACATTTTTAAAATTTTCAAACCACAACTCTGATTATTCTTCAACCTTCCCGTCTCTTTTTTGCCAGGTGTGTGTCTGTGTGTGCATGGCCTGTACAGCCAGGTTTCTCTTTGCCCTAGAAAGATCAGAAGCCCTCACATGTCTACGAGACAGATGTCTAAACCAGATGTTCTCGCACTAAGGAGATAGTTGTAAGGACGGACCTGCAGCATCTGTCTTTATGTTTCCATATGAAGAAATGTTGAATCACCAACAGCCTGTTAGATTGAGATTTTTGTGATATCAGTATGTCCAAAACAATTACCGTTTTTTAGTCTTGTCATGATTTATGATGACTCTTCCTCTGATGCTCCTTCAAATGTACTAATGTTGAAGAGTTACAAATTACTGTTAAACCACAGAGAGATTCCCCTTACATTTCGTAAAACAGACCTTCAAGACTATGGTATTGAACAAAATAAGGTGGCAAGGTTGATGTTGTATTAATTTGTTCACTCAGTCTGGCAGCTATTTTTAAAACAATTGCGGTTGTGGGGGGGCACAGCAAATAGCGGTGTTGCTGACTGTGAATGGCTGATTTCCCCATTCCCTTTTCTCCTCACTCCATTAGTTTCTGCAGAACCAGCCGAGCGAGGATTACCCACCAGCTAACACAGTCAGTGTGCTTGATTCATTCTGGCCACTGATGGATTCAACCAAGAGTCATCAAGATGTCCATTACAGCCAAGTGTTTCAGTGGGGGAAGGGGAGAGCAGCATTTTACAAATCAGAACTAAAAATCAGTCCTCTTGTGACCTCTTCTGATTAACACAAGTCACGTTTGGGCTCAGAAAAACGTGTCTGTCAAGCATTAACAAACTTTTTATACATTTAATCTGTGCTAAAGCTAGCCACTAGTTAGCTGACTTAACAAAAAGATTAGACATATTGAAACCTGTTCGGTGAAAAGGTGACATTTAACTTGCTAGCATCTTTTTTTAATTCAGCAGAATTCAATTATTTAAAATAGAAACACTAAAGCAGCTAAATATTACCACAACTAAATAGGACTTTTAGAAACTGTGTTTTTTTGTGTGCTATGCTAATAGGCTGCTAGCAGCACTTTAAACTGTTCTTTTGTGTTACAAACGCCCCAGAGAGTCTCTCAGCAATAAAGCAGCATGTGGAGATTAAGATTTCAATAGAAAATCACACAAATGCAAAATCACAAGGATGAGTTCATCTTTCGAGCTCTCAATAAGAATTTTTTTTTAATGTCATTTTTGTACTGGATCTTTTCTCCTAGGGGCAAGGATAAAGATTTGTGTTACCCTCACCCACCAAGTATCTCAGTGAGAATATTTCCTGGCAATGAGAAAGAAACTTGCCAGCGGTCCAAAGTGTTTTAATTATAAATGACTTAATCAAAAGATGCCTTAATTTCCTCAGCTGCTTAATTCAGCAGAGTGCACCAGCAGAGATAAAAATGTTCTGTTCTCAAGCGTTTCTCATTTTTATTCTCTGTTCACTCCAAGAATATATGCTGTTTCAAAAGATCTCTTTGCTTACAGGGAAAACTGGAGGACAACAGTTTGAAGATTTAGTCTCTTGCTAGTCATGTCAATCAAAAGAATAATTTTCACAGAATAGCAGCCAGTTAGTCATCATACAGTTTCTGTTACAGATGGAGACTCGGCTCCCGCTGAGGACAGATGGTGTTGCTCATTTTTCATTCTGACTGAAAACTGAAAAGATCAGTTCAAACACACAGATAAACTCACAAATAAATGTTTCCAGATGAAACTTGTTGCAGTTAGGGACATATACAACAGGGAAACAGCTCAGGAGGCCTCTAACAAGCTGTGATCTGTGGGTTTGTAATGAAAAAGGGAGGTTCAAAGGCTCAGACGTCATTGCCAAATTTGTCAGTAAATCAGCTAATTTGGAAACCACTAAGATGGTTTCATTTGATTAAGTTTCACCAGTCTTGTCCCTACTATCTCAAAGTTTTTCAATATCACCATACTTTGTGGGTCTTTGCCCAGCAGTCAGTTCTAGTGAAAAGGACTAGAACTGACTGAAAAATGAAAAATGGAAAAGTTTTTCACATACAAGAAAATAAAATGAAAAACATGTATATAAATATAAATCGTAACATTTGATTAGTGAAGGAAAAGTTGTGCTATTGGATTCCTTACAAGAACATCTGGGTTCATTCCTAGACAGGATGTGGAGCTTGAGCTATGAGTGGCTCTAGGTTGTTGCCTCCTGTTTGACTGCCTTGAATGTATTTTAACGGGTTCATTTTGAAAGGGTGGAGACTCTGGGTCTTTTGTGCCTACAATGCCTTAAAAATCTCCAAGAGGAGCATGGCACTGCTGTTGAGAAGGGAAGTGTCAAGGCTTTACACCCTGTTGACTCCATGATCTAACTTTAAAAGACTGTTAGCAGTTTTTTGTTACTTTCTAACTGGCCACCAAAACATTGATATCTATGGGCAACGCTGAAGAACCGCAAAATCTCCATTTTCAGGGGTATTGTCACAAAAATGATGGTTTCTCTGTCCTCCTGTATTTCTCCTCATGAAGCACGCTCGCACGTTTCAAGACATGGATACCTGAGCCTGTCATTTCATAACCAACTCATGTGCATCGGGAGCCTGCCGGACTTTCTTTCTGCACAAGACTGCAGTTTCTAATTAAACCCCCCGGGAACTTCTTGTCGATGGAGCTGCAGACACTTTCACAAGCCCTCTAAGCAAAGTCCAACAGTCCTCACCACGTAATGAACCCCGGCTACGCTCTTAATCCTGACCAAAGAAAAACGTGAACAAAATCTTTTAGACTCTTACTCTCAATTCTAGACGAAAGTTGGGATCTTTTGTGACAGCCCAGAGGCCAAAGCCATGCCAAAATGACACTCTGAGTTTCCTTACCTTCCCAAAGTTCCTGACGTCAAAAAGGTCAAAGGCGTCAAACAGGTCGCTTTTCTTCATTCCGAATATCTCATTGCACGCCACCAGGAAAGTCCTGATATTCTTCAGGCATAGGAACTGTGTAAAGGGGAAAAAAGAAAAGACATACATCTAAGTGAGACCAATAAATGCACAATATAGCCCATTATATTTCTTTCTCTTTTTCTAAAGGGGTATTGACAATCGCAAGGGGTGTTGCAAGGTGGCAAGATTTTAATTTATAGAAATTTCCTGTCGAAATAGGGCATTGGCATGGCTTATATTTGGAGAAAGCACTAAAAATGATCAAATGAAACATATAGAGGAATAGAAATAATTGTGAAATGGACTCTTTGCATGTAGATCAACCCTGAGGCTTTTAATTGATATCGTAAACACATAGAAAGGAGGCTGCAAACTGCATCCTCATCTGCAACCTCAAACTTTTACCAATAATCTCAATGCTGCTAAATCCAGAAACTATTTATCCTGATCCAGGCGAGCAAGCACTGACTTAAAGCCCCAGTGTTGAGTATGGGTCACTGAGGTATTTAACATTCCTTATAAAAAGCGCAAATCTGCAGTCTGCGAAATGGAAAGTGTCAACACACCAGAATGAACGGTCAGGTGCCATCTGTGACTTCCTCTAGGATGTAACAAAATTGTGTTGTAGAAAGAGATATATTTCGGGAAGTGACGTCTTTTTGTTGTCACATCACCGCTCACAACTGTGTTGGATCGGCTTTAACAGATTACCTAATCCTGGGGTGTAACCGTGCATTCTTCAGTCGAAACCCTAGTTGCGCCCATAGTCGAAGTTTAACCATTTCTGGCCCTAAAACTGATGTATTAATGTAGCAATGTTGAGCAACAAGGAGAGCATTACACATCTGGAAACGCTAGACCCTGAGAGCAATGTTTCTGGACAATATTCCTGAACCTCTCATGTAGTCAGCAGTTAAAAAAATTACCAACCAAGACTTCATTTACTCTGAATTTATCATTGTCCAAATGCAGATAAACTCAGAAGGCCTTAAGCTCATTATCCCCGCATAATGGGATTTCATATCGGAAACAAAGGAACAGTGAATGTAAACCTGTAAATTCCTGGTACCAAAAAAAAATAAAATTACTGTATATCTGTTTCTAGGGATTATACGTCACAAGATGTGTTTAACCCACAAATGTGTAGCTGCATGCTGCTATACAAAGTATGAGTAGAGTTGCTTACAGTATATGTTAAGGTTTGCAAACAGACAGTTGAAACTACTTTTAGATCATAACAAGAATAATTGATGAACTGTTCATTTGCTACTGATGTGTCTACATGTAGAATGTAGCATGAATGTTTTATGTATTCTAGGCAAACAGTAACATGCAACAACTGCTAAGTTGTGAGCAAATGTTCATAGAACATTCAGATTGTCCATTTGCTGACACAGAGAGGTAGTTGCCCTCACAAATGCAGTGGGTTTACCTAGCTTGAAAGTTCAGTTAGGCAACTGGACATGAAGTTTTCTAGAAAACATCTCGCCTCTCATGAAAGAGGCTTCATCAGTTCTAACTGATGGTGGGCAGCACTGAGATTGATATACTGTGGTTAGGGCGGTTTTTGGTCACATTCGGTTTTGTTTTGTCTTTTTTTTGCGTTATTTGTGTTCTTTTAAGACATTTCATCTTAAGGCATTTTTTCATTTTAACTAATTACTAATTCTGTATAGTTCTAGTCAAGCTTGCCAACAAAACAAATTCAAATCAAAATATATCTCAAATTCCCCAAGTTTCCATTTAAGGGTGACTCTTCTTCACTGGCTTGACTTTTTCGTCTTGAGTAACAGATTCACAGGAAATTTATTTCAGTAGCAATTTCCTGTTTCTTAAAAACAGCCTGGCTGTAATCACATTTGACTGCATGTCTGAATGCTGTTTTTACAAAAAAAAATGTACGTTTATTTTGCTGTGCAAACTACACCTTTGCCCTCGTGGTATTAAGCTAAATCAGATTTAGCTGGACAGCACATTCCCATGCATCAAATTCAAAAGGAATTAAAAACCCTTCCACTCCGCCTTAATTAGACTTCACAGATAATTTCACGAGAGAGAAAGAAAAACCCTCAATGGCTGCGATACAGATAAGAGAAAGGCAGCAAGCAAGGAATTGAGGGGATAATATTGAATGTTTACACTTGTACACATCACTTTCTGTTATCAGACAAGCACATCTTGTCAGCCTGGAGTCTCTGGAGAGTCCCAAAGGATCTTGGTATATTATCTGAGGGAAGCAGCTTCGCAGAGCACATATGAAAGACAGTGCGTCTTCTGCACTGTGCTGACAACAAAAAAGGGGGAGACTTGTATGGAGAACAGATGAGGCAACCTTAATCTGTTGAAATTTCTGGCAGTTCTTCTTCTGCATTTCTTGTCAGTGTCTTTTACCGATCAATTATTATCAATAATCATGTCAAAAAAGTAAGTTGATGTGGATATAAAGGCGTTTCTGTCTGTCAAATTGGTTTAAACAGAAAAACCTGAACTACACTCAAAGTCTCCAATAACAACTGGGTAAGTGGTCAACACCACCAAATAATGGATCATACCCACGCTCGTAACATGTATTTCAACCATTTAAATGTGTGAAATTGAACTGTATAACCATGCTAATTTCGAGCCTTTGTCGTTCCGAATCTGTCCGTTCCGCTTTGCTTTTCCTTTTATCTCATCAGGTTGGTGCCGCAAATAGAGTGCCTGTAAAATGTGTTTTAAAAAAAGAACTCATGGTAGCATTAATTACAGCTCTACATTTAGATACTTAAGAGTTCCAGTAAAATTCATTGTGAACATCTATATAATGGCATAAGTGGGCCTTTTTTTTATTAAAGCTCTTTAGGGACTTCTGTACAAGAAGGGAAACCTGACTCTTAGCCCTTCAAATCTAATTTATTGTGGGCTTTTCTAGATCAATGCAGTACAAAATAATCTTCGTGCAGGTCAAAGCACACCTACACACCCGTTGATATTAATTCAATGGTGGAAAAAAAATATCTGGAGGAAAAGTCTTAAATGTCATCCTCATCTGAGAGGCCATTGTGAAAATGTGTCTCTGTCGATATAGTCACGAAAGGTTTAGGTGTGTGCGTATGTCCTCTACTATAAGGACATGACATAATGCACTGGCAACACATTTTTAAACCAAACTGCTCACCGAGACTAGATGCAGTAGTTATTAACATAATTATTGAACGGTCATAATCCATTCTACATTCAAATACAACATTTCTATAAATGTGCCATTAGCTTGCTACTCTGAAAAAGGTATAATTAATAAAAGATGAGGATGTCACATATTTTATGGTGCTTCATGGAGGCGGAAAACATCCATTTGACAGATGTTATACAGCTTCATTCTTTTCTTTTTATGTGGCCTCGTTGGTATATTTGGTAGTCGGTATATACACCTCTATTGTCTAAATGAGTGGGTCAAGATTCTGTAGAGCTTAAAGAGCCAAAGAACTGACCATTTTTTTTAATCTGGCGTTTTGAGGTGAAGACACGTAGAAAACATGGATAGGGAGGGCTGTGTACCTTGAGGACCAGGTTTGGGAAACAGTTTAGCCCAATGCTTTTTCTTTCTGATAAAATTCAGCTGATTTCCAAACTTAGCATTTGGATTGGTGGGTACACTTAAATAATTAGCTTAGTGGTGATTTGTTAGATCTGTTAGATCCTTTGCTGCTTGACCTGAGTAGAGCATCAACACTACATATATTTTCAATATCTCTGGTGGTACCATCATACCAACAGTGTAGTTGTGTGCATGATTCAGCTGAGGGATGAAAAGCAGGATCTACCAGGAAACTCTTCTGACTCCAAAAAGTCAAACACAAAATAACATAATTTCTATGGAAATTTTACCTTTGTTTTACATTTCAGGGCAGGTGTATAGAATTTTCACTACTTCCAAATAAATTTAAGAACCATACAGTAAATTAGAGCTTTATTTCAGCAACAAATTATTTGTACTTTTCTGGTAAAGATGAGAATAATTCAAAGACATACGTGAGGTTTTTACAGAATGATGTCAGTAATTTCCAAACCTGTATCATTTTAATACGAACACCTGTAAACCATAAAAAGATCCGACATGGCATTGCCAAAATCATAATGTCTTGCTCTTCTAATAGCTGAACTGTTGTTTTATTTAAAACAACAATATCAACAAAAAATGGAGCAATGGAAATAGGAATATCTCTGACTTAGCTACATTACTCAGATAGCTAAGTTGCTAGCTTAACTAGTTTGTTAACTAGGCTAGGTGAACTACTTTTGAAGAATCTGTAAAATATTCAGGACATTTTCAGTCCTTTATTTATCATGCCCTGACTAAAATAAAAAATGTGGAGAAGTGAAAAGTCCACTGTCTTGTTAATGTATTTTGAGTTTCAAATAAATGTCCTTCAAACATGCAAACGTATCATATTTTTCCCTGGAATGAATGAAGCCCACTGACAATAAAGTCCTGTTCGGAAATACTTCTTCGTCATAAAACCACTGAGGTAGCCCACAATATGCGTCCTTGTTTACGATGTGTGTTTAGAGAAAGATGGGACTTGTCTCAAAAATCATCGCAATCAAGAGACTGCAATGCAAGACAACCACATCCAAAGCAAAAGTAACCAGCAATGTTAATGCACTTATGTATTTCAAAGGATTCTGCCAACAACTGCATTGTGTATACTGAGGAACTGAGGATAAATTAGGCTTACCAAGAGTCTGCAAATACACACTGACTCAACCTGCACAAAAACGCTCAGTTTATGTTCGAGCAGTGCCTGCAGGTCTTAAAATTCCACAGGCGCATTTCATTTCTAAAACCAACCAAGTGGAATATAAGGCAAGAGAGAAAAATAGTCCAGTAAGACAAGCAGCTGTATTTTTGATATGAGGTTGTGCTCTGTATCCACAATAACTATCCAGTTTCGACTTATGTATTCCTTGATACAAGTCAAAGCTCCATAGCAACAAGCTGGAGCCTTTTATGGCTCATGTGAGTACTGTGGGGAGCAATGAAATCCTGTTCTTGTTCTCTCATAGATGCACAC